ATTTCAATTTTTCAGATATCCTATAGCAATTCTTTCTCAAAATTCTCCTTCATTTTTATTTCTGTGTTACTCACAAAGTGTAACTGTTCACACTCCTTTCTTTTCAACTCTTCAGAAGATAGCTCCCAACAGTATCTTCAAAAGGGTATTTCTGCCATCCCTCTTGGAGGGTGAAAGAGAGAAAGAAGTTGGATAGGCAAAACTGGAGTCCTCTTTGGTCCGTAGAAGGAGAGACACATCTGGGAACAATTATACATTAATACATTTTGTCCATTTGTGTTCTCCCATAGTTAATCTCATGGCTGCAAAGAGATACCCAATGTTTAAGTTTCCCACCATGCGTTCATTCCCTCTTTTCACAATCCAGTACCTCCCTTGCCTATTTTGTCAGCCTCTACTGTGTGGGAGAGGGTATAATTCCTCTCAGCATTTAATCCTCCACTCTCTCCAGACAGTGTCTTTGGTAGGGAAAGGAAAAGAGAGCACAGAGGTGTGAGCATTCATTCATTCAACAAACGTTTACTGGGTATCCACTATGTGTGAGGTACTCTTTGGAGTGCTTTCTGGTAAGCAAATCAGACAGAACTCCTGCCCTCATAACACTCACCTCTTAGCGAAAGAGACACACGATGAACAAACAAAATGTATAAATTTAGATGGTGCTTATGGCCCATGAAGAAAATCAAGCAGAGAAGGGGAAAGAGAGCAGCTGAGAGCAAGGTGAGGGCTGTTTTTTGCAGGTAGTCCAAGGACTTAGTGATGTAAGGGAGGGAGCTGTGAGGATGTGTTGGGGAGATTTTCCAGGCAGGGACCAGCAAGCAAGACAGAAAAACCTAGGTAGTTTCAAGAGGCCAGTGTGGATTGGGCATGATCAACAAAGGGGAAAGTGGAGACAGGGAAATGAGGTTAGGGAGGTGGCCAGGCACTTTTCTGTGGGACCTGAATTGATAATTCTAGAGCAGAGCTGTCCAAGAGAAATGTGTGAGCTCTATCTGTAATTTTAAACTTTCTAGTAGCCATGTTAAAAGAACTAAAAAGAAATGGATATAATTAATATTTATAGTGTATTTTAAACCAAATATGTCTAAAATTTTATCATTTCAAATATCTAATCAGTATAAAATTTTTACTAATGAGATATCTTGCATTCTTTTTTCTTACTAAATGAAATGGACTGAATGCTTGTATTCCCCTCCCCCAAATTCATATGTTGAAATCCTGACTCTTTTTTTTTTTT